TCTCCCAGGGAGTCAGCCTGTGTCCCACCTCCAGCGAGCTATTTATCTCCTTAGTGCCTCCAAATGAGGTCATCAAGCTGTGACCTGATTGGCAGGCTAAACTCCACCCCTTCACTATAGTCTCAAATTGACAACAGATGATGTAACTCCCACCATGTGCATCTGTGTGTGGTTTCTAACTTTCCGAATCACAGCCCAACTTATAACCACTATACTACCAGGGCTCCCTAACCCACTCTCCCCTGCCCTTAGAACGTGTGACCTTTCAAAACCCACTTCCCTCCCCTTGTCCTGTTTGGGTCTGATGGGCATGGGCAGGTAATAAGAAAAATAATGTTGAAATGTGGTCATGCATCTCAAAACACTGTTACCAATGACAGATTTGGAGAGGGGAGCAGAATGCAACATTGTTGCAACCACTCGCCAGAGCACACAGGCTGTATTACACAAGTAAGGGCAGCCTTGTTACAGACCGAGTTAGACACGTGAATGTCCTGTAATTTTCATGTGTGATGAACTGCTTTGCTTCTTTCGATTTCTCAGTCCGTTACAAGTATAAAAGCCCAGAGCCGAAGCTGACCAGTCCCTAGTTCCAATGCTGGGATTAAAAGACAGGACTGGGCAACGTGTAGCGGCCACCGCCCACTGTATCAGCATGTTGTATGATGCTGAGCAGGGTTTCAGCAGAGTTTTCGGACTAAGATGGTCTCGGAGGAAAGGCCTGGTGATCGACTTAGAAGATTCAGCCTGTGGAAGCCAGCGATCAAAGCTTGATTCATCACTGGTCTTGGGGACTGTGCAGCACCAGGCAGCATTTCGTTCTGCGCCACCAAAGGCAGCTGATGACAACAATCGGAAGGAAAACAGAACTTGATGGCATGCTCTCTGTAGGAGTCATGTTTTAAATATGAAGACACGGCATAAAGGAAGGCTATCAGGTACGGTAAAGTAAGCATCAAGACATAGACCACTGTCCAGGATGAAGAGGGGTGACCACCCGTAGGTGTCGTGAGGTGCCATCGTCGAGTCCTTGCTGACCCACAGCAACCTGAAGCACAGCAGAAGGAAGGAAGCGCCACCCAGCCCTGTGCCAGCCCTGTTGCAGCCACTGTGCCAACCCATCCTGGTGAGGGCCTTCCGCATCTCTTTTTGTGCTGCCCCTCTACTTCACCAAGCATGATGTCCATCTCCAGGACATGCTACGCCGCCTTTCATCATCCCTGCTTCTAAGGAGCATTCTGGCTCTACTTCTTCCCAGAGATGTGTTCGGTCCTGGCGGCCCACGGTACTGCCAGTGTTCTTTTCCAGCACCATAATTCTTGGGTCTCCATTATTCCATGTTCAACTTCCACATGCACGGGAGACCATTGAAAATGCCCTGCCTGCATCAGGCGTACTGTGAGTTAGGTTTATTGCCAACTAGACCTCCAGAGGACCATGTGGGTGGAGTTTAATCATATTTAATCATGTTGCAGCTTGATGGGAGGGCCATGAGATAAATGGCTTTCCAAGGCCTCCCATTCTCCTTGGTGCTCTGACCAGCACTGCCTGAGCTAGCCTGCCTCAACCCTGCGCTGCACTGCTGTGGGCCGAGCCAACCCGTGGATCGTGTGGCCTTGCTGTGCCTTGCTAAGGTTCCACAGAGACCTGCTCCACTACGCTGCTGGTAGGCTATCACTTCCCCTGAGCACATCTCCAGACCCCGTCAGTGCCTGCTCCCCTAGCCCCCACCCTGCCGTCTGCTGGCCAACTTTTCCTGCCCTTGTCTGCTTCCTTGACCTCGGACTGGCAGCCTTTGTGAGTAGAAGGACCTTCAGTATATTAACTGTTCCAGGAAAGTGAGTTGAACTAAGCCCTCTGTACTACTGTGTGGACTAATTAGCCATTAAATTTCTTCTTGCTGTATAAACTCTTCCTTATATATATATGTATGTGTGTGTGTACACATATGTCTAATCATGTGTGTTCCTGTTTTGTTTCTCTAGAGAACCCTGGCTCACACACACTGTAGTCCTCAGTTCCATCCTTGCTTTGCACCGCTGTCCAGAGGTCTTGTGCAGCAGGGTCACCCACTGCCGTGTCACGGTTCAGCTCGTGATAGTGAATGGTGCAGCAGGCTTCCTAAGAAGATGGAAGGAATACAGTGTCCCTGTACCAAACAATGTCAGAAATATGAGGTTAATTGGCATAGCTATGAGTACATGATGCATATTGCACAAAAGATAGTTATTCTGCAGTAAAGAGTTACAATGTTCTGTAAACACCAGTTACCCAGTTACATCAAGGAGATTGATTAAAAGAAAGACAATGCTGCCATTGGAACGATGTCGGCTAGAACTCCCCCTGTGGGTTTCTGAGCCTGTAACTCCTTAGGGGGTGGGAAGCCTGTCTTTCTACTGTGGAGCAGCTGATGGTTTTGAACTGCTGACCTTTTGAATCACAGCCAAATTCTTAACCACTCCACCACCAGCGCTCCTTAGGTGATCGATAGCCTTGCTCCATCCTCTCTCTATATTGATAACTTGGCATAGTGTTTACACATTGGGCTGCTAGCCATGTGGTCAGCAGTTCAAAACCACCAGCTGCTCCGAAAGAGGACGAGGCTTCCTACTCCCAAGAAAGCTACAGTCTCACACTCACAGGGGCAGTTCTACCCTGTCCTATGGGGTTGCTGTGTGTCAGCATCGAGTCAGCGGCCATGTGTTGTTGTTATTGTGAGGTGCCATCGAGTTGGCTGCGACCCACAGCAACCCCATGCACAGCAGAATGAAACACCGCATGGCCCTGCGCCATCCATCTCGTTTACTGCCTCCCTCCTCTTTGCCCCTCCACTTTACCAAACATGATGTCCTTCCCAGGGACTGGTCTCTCCTGACCACATGCCCAATGTATGTGAGACAAGGTCTTGCCATCCTTGCCTGTAAGGAGTGCTCTGGGCTTAATTCGTCCACTACAGACCGGTGCGTCCTCTTCGCAGTCCGTGGTACTTTCAATATCCATCTCCAGCACCACGATTCAGATGCATCCATTCTACGCTCTTCCTTACTCAGGGTCCAGCTTTTACATG